AATAATGGAACAACCATTCACTAATCTAAAACAAAAATTCTGGCTCATTTTACTGATAGTACGTTAGGCATGATTACTTTATCAGTCAAAAGACTTAAAATTCTGTATAAGTTGATTCATTTCCGATGTCACAAATACAGTATGAGCCGTCTTCTTGATTTGCTCTAGTCCTCCTTTCCCCACAAACACAAATATAATGTCCAGTTTCGGTGTCTTTGAAAGCATAGGAAAATGCAATGCTGTCAGTGTAGGAAGGATATTCTCACTGGGGCTTTGTCTGCCTTCTCCTTCCGCTGACACACCCAGCTCTTTCGGGAGAACTGCCCTGCCCCGCCCCCCACGCACCAATTCCAATGCTCCCCTGAATCCCGGCTGCCAATCACAGCCCCTGCTTACACAGTCTGGCTCCTGACCCAGTGGTCCAGTCACAGTCCCAATGGGCTCGTAATCCAGGCCGGGCCAATTAAACACCTTTCCTGGAATTTTCCCCATTGGACTCCCTTCAGGAGTGAAATAAAGAATTTAAGCCCAGACCTCCCTGTGTCTGGTCTGAGAGAGAAGGCATCCCAAAAGCATGGAGCCACCGTGCAGAGAGAAGCTTGGAAAAGAGTAGGGGAAGACTTCCAATGAAGATGTAGACCTGGGGACCTTCCACTGTAAAGACCAATAAACATCCTTTTGAGTTTGAACAGGTTGAAGTTAGTTTTCTGTTATCTGCCTTCATGGAATCCTGCCTCATGCAGGTAGATGGTGACCCTGAGTTTGGGCATTCTCAATAGTGGTGAACTCACTGGGTGGTTTTCCTAGTCCTTGCCTGGGCACTGCCGTTGCAGTCCACAGGGGTGGCTTCTGAGGCTGTTTCCTGCTGTGACTCTTACTGGTCCCAGGGCTGTGCCTGATTCATTCCGAGTTTCACCTCTGGAAGTTAATTAAGGTTTTGATCCCAGACAGAAGTTGGTCGGGGCTGGATTCTGTGCGCAGCGGCACTCTACAGGGAAAGGAAGACACTGCCACCGTCAGCCTGGTTCTGGCCTGTCCTGAGGTTTAGCTGTTTGACCCCGCCCATGATGAGTTCCAGGAGCTACCCAGTCCTTCCAAGACTGCAACTGGTTTACTCTTCAAACCAAAAGAACATGAGATTATACACCACAAACCGGTCTCTTGTAAGTCGTCGGTTAGGATACTTTTCACTATGGGAAATATAAGACTTCAAAAAAAATCCACTGGAGCAATGAGGAACTTTTACTTTGAACAGTGAGCCTAGAGGAAGGGTAGCCGCAGGCACGGTATATTCAGCAGCTGAAGAATATCACCAAGGCCCGCACCTTGTATCTCTGTGTTTGCCATGAGCTGCGCCCAGCAGGACATGGAGAAACTTCTCCATGCATGGGCCAGCCTAAGCGGATCTGGAAATAACATCCTGGCAGTGGTATGAGAAGAGCTCGAAGGTGTCTTTAAGAGCCAGAAGTAATTCGGGTTGGTGACTACCTGGCTGGTGAGGCGTGGGAAGGGAGGAGCCGGGGGGATGCCCAAGTGTCTTATTTAGGCACGTTGGTAGGTAGAGGCAGTGCCAGAGCTGGTCTGGCAGGATGGGGGCAACACGTGCAGGGTCCCTGCCTCTGCAATTCTCCGGTGACTGCCCCGGAGTCTGCTGGAGCCTGTCCGGAAGCCCTGTCCAGAGGCCCTGCCTGCTCAGCAAACCAAGCCTCTGATGGGGAGTGATTTCATCCTGGGAGAGACAAGCTCCCATGAATGGCGTTCCTCGTCAACTGCCCCCGAGACCCACTCACGTGAAGCGGGCACCACCTGCACAGCTCGCGTGCTGGGGGCGCCCCAGCTGTGGGTGCCCACCCAGCGGCCATCTCCACCTTCCCTCCACCTTCCAGCTCCAGTTTGGGTGGGGAACACACGCATGGCCCACTCTAAAGCGTAATTAGCCTAACCAATGGCTCTCAACCATGGCCGCCCATTAAAATCTATTGAGGAGCTTTGAAAAAACTCCGGTGCTCAGGACCCTCATAACATATAATTGTAAAAAACTAAAGACAAAAACAAGCAGTACAAAATTTACCATCTTAGCCACTTTCAAGTGCACAGTTCAGCGGCATTAGGCGCATTCACACTATTGGGCAAACATCACCATCGATCTTCTGAACGTCTTCATGCCCCGACACTGGACTCTGCACCCACGAAACAACAACGCCCCCAGCCCCCGACCCCAACCCCGGCCCTAGGCAACCACCGTTCTTCTTCTGTCTCTATGCATACGGCTATTCTAAGTGTCTCGCCTAAGTGGAATCATACAATATTCGTCCTTTTGTGACGAGTTAGTTCCCTTAACATTATGTCTTCAGAGTTTGTCCAAGTTGGAGTGTGTGTGAGAATTTTCTTCCTTTTTAAGGGTGAATAACATTCCATTGTCTGGATGGACCACATGTTGTCTATCCAGTCATCTGTCAGTGACCACCTGGGTGGCTTCTGCCTTTTGGCTACTGTGAGAAATGCTGCTGCTATAAACATGGGTGTCCAAATATCCCCAGATTTTTTTAAAACGCTTTTCATGGGGTCCAATGTGCAGCAAAGGTTGAGAACCATTAGGGCGGGGCGGTCCCCAGAGACTGCGAGGGCCCCGGGGAGAGGCACGCCCTCTTCGCCAGCGATCCAGCAGCATCATTTGTAGTACTTGTCACATCCAGTAATCAGATCTTACACGTCTGTCTCCACCAACAAACTCGAAGACTCGGGAGGGCGAGGTAGGTTTTGTTCCCTCAGTATCTCCCAGATCTAGCGCCAAGCCTGGCACCAGGCCGGAGCTTATTAAGTTACTGCTGAATAAAGACGACGACCAACCCACCATTTAACTCTACCCGGCCATTAAAACCAATTGCTCCCTTCTGCTACCAGAAATGAGGTACCATCAGACTCCGGGCCCTGCCTGGGGCCCTGACGGGGGCCTGGGCCGGAGTCAGGGTCTAAGGTCTTTATGAAATAAAATTATGTGTGTTAAAGAAGCCCCAGCGCAGGGGGTGGGACAGGGTGGCGGTAGGAGGAATAGGGGCCATGGCCCTCCTGCTCCAGGTCACAGGCTCCAAAAAGAGTGGCCGTTCCCCTCCCTTGCATCTGAATGAGAAGCCTAAATGATCTTCCCCACAAGCGTCTGCTTCCTCATCCCCACAACCCACTTTGAAAGGGAAGGGAGGCCATGCCGCTGTGTTTTACCGAGGTGGGTTTTCTGGGCCCTCTGTTCACATCTGCAGCTCCACATCCTTGTGTTTACTGTGGTTTCAATTTTAACCTGAGTTCCCAAGATCAATTTTTATTAAAGCCTATGGAAGTTAAGGAGGAGGCTCAGATAAAAGAAATACCAAAATCCCCAAGAAAGCTCACTTGACTCCATATTTAAGTCTGTGGACGTCCTAGGAGGGAACCTCCTCACAATGGGAAGCAGGGGCGTGGCAAATTGGGAGTGTCCCTCTCCCCTTTTTCTGAGAAGCCCCCAGACCCACTGTGCAGTGGGCGGGGGCAGCAGGCACAGGCCACAGGGAGCAGGACAGTAAGCATGTCCCCTACTTCTGTAGTATTTTCAAGATCTGGGAGTTGATCCCAGGATTAGGGTTGGGCAGTGAACCTGGGTCATGCAGGGTCAGAGCTGGCCTTTATTTGAAATGTGCATATTTGGCTTATTGTGGGTCTTTTTTGCATTAATTTTGGTTTCTTGAAGTAGCATGTGAAAGCCATTTATCTTGATGGCTTGTTTGGCCCCCCTTCCATTTCGTGCCTTGCTTGACTCCAGTCATTCCTGGCACCTCCCCCCCGGCCTCTGAGTTAGGACCTGCATTTTCAGGAGGGAGGCCTGAAGCTGCTCTCTGGTCTCGCACAGCCACCAGCCCCCTTTCTCTGGGCTGACTTCCTCGCAGGTCCCTGCCTCCACCCTTCTGACAAACTGCCCCCCGGCCTGTGTGGCCCCTGCTCCGTCCAACACCCTCTCCCACCGCTTCTCCGGGGAACCGACGCTAGGGCACCAGGAGGAGACAAGAGGGCCCAGGAGGAGTGGCCACTCCTCATTCTCCTGGGGGGGTTCTCTTGCTGTCGCCATTTTTGAGCTTCAGACGGACAGGAACACAATTAGCGAGGCCTGGTCCTTTCTAAAGAAATCTTTTTTGCACCAATGACGATGCTAACAGTGCCCGTGGTGAACCACGGCCGGCCTTAGGCTCTGGAACCTCAAGGCGGTAGACCGGTGCATTAGGACATGGAATTCTCTATAATTGTAACTGTGCCAAGAGCGGCAGCCCAGGAAAAAGTCCTAACATTGTAAAAGGGTGGACAGATTTTTAAAAGCAGATAATCCTGCTTAAGCAATAACCCAAACAGCTAAATAAATTTATCATTAAGAATTAAGTAGGAATGAAGACCATAACAGCGCAGGCCTTATGAAAACTGCTATACCGCATGAGCTGCAGAGAATTTTTTTTATAATGAGTGTATAAATAACTGTGTGTATCTTTGTACCCCCACCACCTCCCTGGAACAGTGTGGAAGAAAGTGAGCCGGTGAGTCTGGGCTCTTCTGACCTGGCAGGACCCTCACGCAGCAAGGGCAGCAGACCCCTGACATTCAGGCCCATCTCTATGAGGACCGTGGCGGGGAACTGCGTCCATTCATCACATCCTGGCCCCTGGGTGTTGCTCCTGCACTGCTTGCTTCAGCAGCAGTAGACCCACCTGAAAATAAACGACCCATGTCTCTGCCACTGTTCCAGCCAATCTTCAAAGTCACAGGGAGCTAGCCCACCTCATTCTCCTTGATATTATCTTAATAATCCAATACTATTATTATGGATGTGCCATAAAATAATAATTACTTGACTCACTGGCCTGATGGTAAATGTAATTACATATGCAAATAGCTTTATAAAAATATCATGTGAAGAACACCCTGACACACCGGCCACCAAGCGATGCAGACCATGATCCCCAGATGCAAACACCACGCCTTACCAGGACCGTGTGCATCCCAGTGTACAGCCTGCTGAGACACACCAGTGTGGAGAACGCCACGGCCATCATCAGCCCCAAACCGAAGGGATACTGCGGGGAAGGAGAGGAGACAGGGAATTAGGTGGTGCTCACACACACGCAAGCGACGCCCCAGAAGGGAGCAGGAGTCCTGGTCCAGTAACCGCCAGTCTCAGCCTTGCATGCCCCAGACCAGCAAGCTGATGATCATGTGAAACTGGGGAAACTGAGGAAAGAAGCGGGAAGATGCCTAGGAATATAGTTCTGGGAGGAAGTTTCACAACATAAGACATAGTAGAACTTGGCTATAAGCCTAATGTCCACAGCAATTGTTCTGGCTGTTTCCATGGAGTAGATAATTCTTTCTTTCTACTTGTTCTTAGAGTAAAACTTACGAAGCATACAGTGTTGAACAAGGGGCAAGCAAGTGCCGTGGTGATGAAGCCTAGCAACGAAGGGCTTCCTGAGAAAGGACAGGGACAAAAGGCCCAAACTAAGAATGGGCATGTTTACATACAGACGTCAAGGCAGAGGCCCAGACTTCACTAGACCTCAACATTGGCTGGTGGGAGGGCGGCTGGGGGAATCTGGCTAGTGCTGAACCATAAAAGAAACAAATACTCTGCTTATAAACTAGATATTGAGTGACTATCCACGTGCTCCAGGAACTCATTAGTCTGTGGCCTTCTATGGAGAAGAATAAAGATGCTAGAGAATGGTCTATATTATGCGGCACACTTTACAGTCACGATCTCATTTCATCTTCATCCAACCCTATGAAGGAGGTTCTATAATTAGCCGCATTCTACAGATGAAGACCATTAATCCCAGTAGGTTACATTAGTGTTAAAATTTAGCTCAAAGATGCTTCCCCCATCAATCATCACATTTGATCCTGAGAACAGGAGCTGGGGCTCACAGAGGCAAAATGGCTTTCCTAAGGTCACACGGCCAGGAGTGACAGGGTCAGAACCTGGAGCCACACGGTCTAAGGCTGAGTCCAGCATATTCTTTTCAATGTAACATGTAAGTACAATAACACATGACTGTATGCTTTTTCTTAGGATTTATCATTAACTGGGTATCATTTTGTCATCAAAACAGTGCTAAAACTGAATAAACGAATGCATCATGAAAGTAGGGCCTGGGCTTTAGGTTCAATACATATTTATATAAACAAATCTATATTTGGTGCTATTTAGAAGAAATAACTCAAATAGCTAAATATATTTATCATTAAAATTAAATAGGAAAGACCATAGCAACTTAGGCCTAACGAAAACTGTTGCAGCACGTGAGCTAAACAGAATTTTTTAAAAAGGCCCAGGTGGCCTCAAGTGCGTGTTCCAATGGTGGTTGTCTCCCTGCAGTCGGCTGTTACTGGCTGGTGTTTTCCCAAGTGACATCCGCATGTCTGCAGGCCTCTCTGGGTGCTGACAGCAGCCCGATGGGGCTGGTGCTGGGCCCGCTATGTCCTCCTGGGGCAGAGGTCACTGGGCACGACACAGCTCAGGAGTTTGCATTGGATTAATTCAGACAGGACTGGGGCGCTCAGACGTTTTTTGATCCTGGCCTGACACTGAAGTGCGTTATGACACAAGATTAAACTTGGTTGCAGATATTCCTCATACCTGTCCCTTTCCCAGTTAGGAAACGGGTCTAACCCTAGGTGACCAGGTGGATGACAGCCGAGGTAGAGCCAGGGCCCAACACTACTCTTGTCCTCTTTCAACCCCATTGGGGCTGATCCCCCACTTCTGCATGAGCTGGAATGCAGAACATCCCTGGGGTCCTGGGCATAGGCACAGGGCAAAATGACACTGTCACTTAAGAATAAGGCTGCTAGATTTAATGAAATGTACATTTTTCGGTGATCAAAGGTAAAATTATGACAATTAGCTATGAAACTAAACACAAACTAGAGCAAGAGTTCTCTTGCTCAGACAGGCAAAACACTTCATTACAATAATAATATCACTTTTCAAAGGCCTAACAGTAACTGGCATCTAAGCAGATATTAAGTGAAATTCTTCTATTTTCAGCATTTATTAATCTCCTGTAATTTAGACAGTATTCTAGAAGATGTGAAGCCATTACTTCTAATGGCTGAGGCTCAATGTGGCACGGAGGCATCTCTGGGGAATAATCTGGGGCACAGGCTACTTAGTCCCCGGCCCCGGGAAGTCTAGCAGGAGGATTTGGTGGACTCATCTCAGCCCTGGAGGATCATTTACTAGGATAAGAAAAGAAATGCCCTGCATCTGTTGCAAACGGGATGAGAAAACCGATGCAAGTGCTGTCATCGAGCAGCTCCAGGGGAAGATGTTTTCTGCAGGGGGCAGATGGCATGCCCTGGTTCCCAGACTGTCCCTGTTTTGCTGGTGTCCACTTTCATGCTCAGGCACAACCTGATTTGGATGCTATAGAGGGTCACTTGACTCATGAAGAAATTGTCATGAACAGTCACAGCTCAATAGGTTTCAGTTCCCCTTAGGCTTCATTTTGTAAACCTCAAAGTCCCTCAGAGCAGCTTTAGAAGAATAGAATGGAGAGCCTCAGACAGGAGGTAGAGGAGTCAGGCGCCTTACCTGGTACCTGTCCATGGTAGAGATGAGGAGCGTGAAGGAAATGGCGGTAGCCGCCATGGCATGGGTAGAGGGCATTCCATACTCAGCAATTACTCTCTTCTCCAGTTTCACGACAGGAGGGGAGAAGGGGCGGGGCCACTTCAAGATGTCCTTGGCCACCTGGCCAACATACATCACCAGCTGCAAAACCAAAGGACCGAGATGAATCCAGCCAAGTAAGTAATATTTAGTGAACTATTATGCTTCATGAATTTGGAGGAGGGAGGGGTTCTCTGTTTGTGGGCTGAAATCCTCTTTCTTTTGAACTCAGTTACCTATTACAAAAGCCTTGTAGAGTGATATTTAATTGCTAAAAAGAGGAACAGGCCTGCTGGATTCCACAGGGCAACTAGGACGTGACATTAACTCTTTATTTTAGTCATATACTTAACAAGCATTTATATAGCTTGAATGTCATGGTCTGGTCACACATGTGGTGTTCTAAGAGCTTTACGAATACGTATTAGCTTGCTTAATCCAATAACATGCGTAGAGTGCAGACCCCATTGTGCAGATGAGTAAACCATTGGATACAGTCAATAAATGGTGGGCCTCACTGGGTTTGCACCCAGAGAGTTTGGCTTCCAAATCTGTTCCTTAAACAACCACCTGAGATGCCTATTTAAACACAGGATGAACCGGGGCTAGAGGACCATTAAATAATCAGATCAGACAGCCATTGTTTTCAAGTTTTAACCAGAAAAGTGACTCTCCCATGGAACATGGACTTAAAATTTCTTTGAATGCTATTGTTACTCCTGTTATGTGCAGGCAACATACTGGATTTGATTTAACTTCACTCAATAATCAGAAGCATCCGTCATGTAAATGGTATGGTATTTTCAGTCCTAAAATAAAGACAACTCAATCTATTTTTTTAATGACTTTTGCATGATGTCATTAATGAAGAAATTTCCACTCCCTCTCTGTTTTCTTCTTAAAGCAGAAGACAGAAATCAGAATTTGATTTCTATATGCCCAGAAATGAACAGGACTGTTAACGGGACATTATTTTGTCAGGGAGTTTTACAAGAGAACAATTTCATGATCTGTTATAAAAGAGGAAAAAGCAAACCCTTTACTTAAGTCTCTGCATTTGCAGCTCAAAGTATGGTCTAAGGACAGCCTCACATGGGCTATTAAAAAATGCAGCATCCAGGCCCCAGCTGGGACCTACTGAATTTGAACCCCCATTTTCACAAGAGTCCTAGGTACGTTGTGTGCACATGGGAATTTGAGAAGCCCTGCTTTACACGGTATTCTTGCACAGGTCATTTTGTCCTGGGCTTTAATCATAAACTTTCTCGTCTTACCATGACCATATTGATCTCACTAGGGCTTTATTTAACTCGTGTTGGATGGATGGGGTTACCTTGCTTGGGAACAAAGCCCACTACGGGAGACCTATTTTGGAATAATTTTGATTAGTCAGCCAGATCGCCTTAGGCTTTCCCACATTCCGGTGCTTCCTTTTTGCCCAGTTAGTCGTTTGGTTGCCGGTTCATTCTGAGTGTCACCGCAGCACAGTCAGTAGCCCCGGAAGGCACTGCACATGTTTTTGTGCTCAGCTGCCACTTTGCTCTGGGTTAAAAAACCAAGACCCACTGTCAGAGCACAGCAGGCCAAAGCCCCAGGCTTTAAAGCCCCAGTGACAATCACTCCGAATTCCATAGCCGTGATTTCTAATCGGACTTTGAAACTTAACCTCTTTACCATCCCCTCATTACCAGGAACCACTGTCCTGGAAACCGGCTCACTCTTTTATGTTTCTGCTTCCCTCCCGTGAACCTGTAAAACCCACATCAGACTGACTATTATTTGGGGAGCTGAAAAACTTGCAGATATTATTGACTACCAAGCATTTCTCAGAGGCTGCTTAAGACATATTTTCAACCCTGTCCCCTTGCCACTCACCAACACACACAAAATATTACAGGCAAAATGACGAACTCTACTTTGCTCAAAAATACTTTAAAATCCTGGGAGACAGGAAACTTTAAGATCATAAAGTGAAGACAGACTGGACGACTCTCATTCAGGCAAAATTTACTTCCCTTGAGGTCCACGAGTTCCTCTGACTTCATTTACATTTCACCTCCTATGTTTGAAGGATGTTTTTAAGAATTAAAACATAGCTCTACCTAGTTTCTGATCAATACATTTCAGATAGCAATCTCTGTAAGGACAGCTTTCTTTAAACAAGAAAACCAGAGCTATATTTTTCAAGTCATACAGAAAGAGTACCACTTACGGAGGGTGAGTCCTGTCTCACATTCATTACAACAAATCTAGGATGGGCCAAGCTCTGTATTAGGTCTCCATCCTTGAGTGGGAAAAACAGCCAAACAGAGGATCTCATCATAATGCAAACATGCTTTGAGAAAAATTATCTACGGAAGTCTATAGGTGTGTCTCTATGTAGAGACGGACTTTGGTTTTACCTTGAGGACCAGGAGCACTTGGGCTGAATGTTAAAGGAAGATTGTTTACCTAAGATGAGGGACAGGTAGAGAGGCACCTGGGTTGCAAGCAAAGCATGCGCAAAGGCTTGGAGAAGTGATACTGGGAGGTTAGGAGCACTAGAGTTTAAACTGTGAGGCACACCACTTCTGATCTGTTAGCATGGCCTATGATTAACGGGACTACTCTATGGGGTGTTAGGGAGACTGGGAAGTCCCTGGAAATCTCATACACCGCTGGAGGACTTGCAAAACGGTACAATCACTTTGAAAAAGGGTTTGGCAGTTTCCTAAAATGTGAAGCATATATTCTCCATATGACCCAGCTATGCCACTCCTAGATATTTACCCATGAAGAATGAAAGCCTAAGTCACACACAGATCTGTGCATAAACATTCATGGCAGCTCCTCTGCAATCGCCCCAAACTGGAAACACCACAATTCCCAGCAATAGGTGAACAAATAAACAAACTAGACTATAATCATACAGTTGCATACTTCTCGGCAACAACAAAATAAACTAATGATACCATACTGCAGCATAAATGAATCTTAAAATAATAATGCTGAGTTTCTGAAGAAGCCAGACCAAAAACAAACAAAAAAAGAGTACATACTGTATGTTTTCATTTCTATAAAATTCTTGAAAATGCAAATAACATTATAGGACAGAAAGCAGATCAGTGGTTGACAAGGAGGTGGGGAAAGAAATTACAAATCAGGAAACATCTGGGAGTGATGGATATTTATTTTAATTATGGTGATGATTACAGGGGTAGGTACCTACGATGAAATGTGCCAAGTTATAGATTTTAAACATGGGTAAACTTTGTGAAGACACTAAAAAGTATTCAACTATACACTCTATATGTATGAAGTGTTTATAGTATGTAAATTATACCTCAATCAAGCTGTTAAATATGTGCGGTTTATTGTATGCCAATCACATCTTAAAAAGTGGTTGTCTAAGCCAGGTTGGGTGGCACAGACTGGGTGGCTTACAAACCAGAGAATTTATTTCTCACAGTTCTGGAGGATGGGAAGTCCAAGTTCAAGGCACTGGCGAGGGCCTGCGTCCTGGGTCACAGACGGCCATCTTCTCAGTACTAAAAAGTGAGCTTGCAAGGCATGGAAAGACATGGAGGAAATGTAAATGCATGTTACTAAGTGAAAGAAGCCAATGTGAAAAAGGCTATGTACTGTATGATTTCATCTATATGACATTTTGGGAAAGGAGAAACTGTGGAGACAGAAAAAGAATTTTTCAGTAATTGCCAGGGATAAGGGGAAGGGAGGGTTGAGCTGGCGGAGCACAGAGAATTTTTAGGCCAGTGAAACCATTCTGTATGGTACTGTAATAGTGGATACATGTCTTTATACATTTGTCCACACCCACAGAATGTTTAACAGTGAACCCTAATGTGAACTACGGGCTTTGGATGATTATAACATGTCAAGGTAAGATGATCAGTTGCAATAAATGTCCTACTCTGGGAGGAAATGTTGATAATGCAGGGGACTGTTCATATGGGGGATGTGGTATATGGGACTCTGTGTGCTTTTCACTCCATTTTGCAGTCAACCTAAACTATTCTAAGAAATAAAGTCTCTTAGAAAGAGTCCCATGGCAGAAGAGACGAGAACTATTTCTCCTTTCAGGTTGCAGTTAAAAAAAGTGTAATGACTAACCTGATAGGGCTTGCCCTAGATGGAAGGCTTTGCTCTCTACCTGAAGGACCAATTAAGTTCCAAAAGCTATCACACAGTCCTCTGGCCTCAGGCCCCAAAGGCCTATATGCAAAAGAAAAATCCATGAGGTGGCAAGGCAATTACACATCACTGACACCTTCGCAAAGCAGCTGGGTCCCCAGAGGTGCTGGTGGTGATAGGTTGGGGTCGGGGGGAGTAGAGTGGCATTTCCTGATGAGGAATTAGCTGATTGTCTTACTTCTGTCCTGATGATAGGATATAGGAACTATGTAGTGGGAGGAAAATCCATTTTTCTGGATCATCTACTGCTGATCCCTTGCAGACAGAGCCTTTCTGGCAAACCAATTCTGTCAACAGAAACATATCCTCCTCCCGGCCTGGAAGAGCTTCCAACTGGGGTCTGACCTTGAAGGCTGGGCTCATCTGGGGCCAGCAGAGAAAACAGCACATTTTCTCTTATCATGGCGGCCCTTTCCAGTTACTACAGCCCAAAATGGCGAGTTTACTGGGCCAAACACAGCTCCGGTGAATAGGACAGTACTCTCCACCCTCAGCCTAAACAGTTTGGAAAACAGAAGGTCATCGAAATAACATTATTTCTAGAAAAGCAGACACAGGATTTTCACAACCAAAGCCACATGTTCCTCCTTTATACACTGAGATTACCAGCTGCCCCTTCTTCTCCTGCCTGCCACACAGCATCCCCATCCCATGGAGGGAAGGCTCCACTCCTATTATAATGAGAGCTAAGTCCACTGAAGGATGGAGGAGACATCAAGAAGCTCTTTTCAAATTATACCCCCCACGCCATTGATCCACACACAAATTTTGATAAACTAACATCTTCCTTCCTTCTAGCTGCACCTATAGCTTCCTTCTCGATGGGGAAGTCATGGCGCAAAAGAATAACTAACAGGAGTGTATGATGTCTCTTAGGTTTCATGGTGCAAACACACTGTGAATTACTGGGAATTATAGTCTATCCATGGGTTTTCTATCCATGGGTTTATTTTCAACAAGATAGAAATTAGTTAGATCATTCTTTATCTGCTGGACAGTAGAGAACAATGAGACGTAACCCAACCACCACGGCTTCTCTACCAATCCATACCCATCCTGTTTTTCAATGGGTCCAAATGAAGTTCGTTCCCCTTCTCCTCAGGTTACTAATATGATGATTTAGAGAAAGAGAGATGAGACACCCAACCATTCCACTCCTACGTACATACCCAATAGAACTGAAAACATATGTACATGCATGTCTTTACCATCATCCTTCACAATAGCCAAAAAGTTTAAACAACCTAAATACCCATCAACAGGTGAGTGGATAAACAAAACATAGTATAGCCTTACAATGGGATATTATTTGACCAAAAAAGCAATGAGGAACTGATACATGCTACAGCATGGATGAAACCTGAAAACAGTATGCTAAGTGAAAGAAGCCAGACATGAAAAGGACAAATATTTGTACGATTCCATTTATATGAAATGTTTAGGAAATGCAAATCCACAGAGACAGAGAGCAGGTTAGTGGCTGCCCAGGCCTGGAAGAGAGGGGTATGGGCAGTGAGTCCCAGCGGATGTGGGATTTGTTTTGGGGAAGACAAAAATGCTCTAGAGTTAGATAGTAGTGATGGTTGCACAACTCCATGAATATACTAAAAACCATTGAATTATATTCTTTAAAAAGGTAAGTATTATGATATGTGAATTGTATCACATTTACTACAAGAGAAGGAGAGACTAGGCATCAAGATGGGTCCTGAAATAGCTCTTCTATGTGTCCTTTAAGTCCTTTGTTCCAAATGTTATTGCCAATGTCTTCAAACATTCCTTCAATAGAAGTCGCTATGGGGACTATTAATATTCTTGTCTTCAAATGTCCTGTCCAGCTGTGGCTCTGATCCCCAGTTCTACACGGCACTGAGGAGGTGACTGCACATGCCACAGAGAAAGCTGGTGAAAATCTACCTACTCAAAGCCGTGAGTATGAAATTTATGAAATGTGTTTTAAGAGCAGCTTTTAGCTGTGGAAGTTTTTAAGATTAACAATTTTACGAAAAACAAAAACAAAAACAAAGAGGAGACTGACTACACTAGCTCATGTTTTGTTTTTCTCTCTGGAATGAAGACACACTGCTCTCTATTTGCCTTCGGGGAATGAATTAAAAGCATTTCTTTGTTATGGTTATTTGGGAACATTCTAGAGACTCCTGCTTACCATCCAGTCTGAAAAGTTGTTCCCAAATGATGAACATCCTTTCTTACTTGTGGCATTATTTTTATTTACTTTTTAGAGTTCAAGGCTGTTTTACTGTGTGTATCATGTGGGTTTGCGTGTGTGTGTGGGGGTAGGGTGGTGGTGGTGAATCACGGGGGAAATGACTGCAATTTTAAACTAATAAAATTTCATTCCATGCCTGAAGCACCAAAACAATGAAGTTACAGAGCAAACATTATAGCTCACAGAAGACCATCAGAAAACTGGTTTCACATATTCCCAGTTCTGGAATCATGAGAACCATTAAAGCAACAAATGGCAGGTGAGAAACATAAGATTAAGTCACAACATTTTCGTGCTCTAATTCTCTATTTTTTCAAGCTCATAACTATTTCTGAAAAATTTTTTAAAAATGTTTTATGTATTGATTTTAGAGAGAGAGGAAGGGGGCGGGAGAGGGTGGAGGGGAGGAGGGGAGACAGAGAAAGAGAAACATCAGTTTGCTATTCCACTTATTTCTACATTCACTGGTTGCTTCTGGTATGTGCCCTGACCAGGGATCACAGCTGGGACAACGCTCTAACCAACGGAGCTACATGGCCAGGGCTGCTCCTGCAATTTCTGAAGACAAACACTAAAGGTACCAAGATCAGTAGTTAAGTCATTGGTGTAGCATGTCTTTAGGAAAGTTACTTCAGACCAGCAGGGCCCCCTTTTCATTATTAAGATGGAGTTGGGTTAAATTATAACTCATGTTTGCATGGTGATTTTTTTAAGTGTGTTCCTAGACATTATTTAATGTTCCTGTCATTCCTATTTTACAGAAGAAGAAACAAACTGAAGACCACAGAGGGTGAACGTCACACCAAAAACAAAGCCATCAGTGAAGAGGAGCTGGACAGGACTTTTGTGTTTTGATTCCAAAGCCTGTGGTCTTTTCTCCACATCCCACCGTCTAGCATCTGACAGATAATATGTGTGAAGGACTATCTACCCTTAAAGCATGGATATCATTAAACTCAGTGCACCCTGAAATGTAGCTAGAGTGAGACGAGAGAAATTGTGACCGCACCTGCACTCTCCTGTCTTTTTATGCCAGCATCTGTGCATGAGGTCGAGCGGCAGCCATCCTGCTGACTTGAGGGACCATAAGCTTGATTTTAGGTTAAAGGTCATTAATGTTGAACACCTGGCTTTGCAAGCCACCACAGAGTCTCCTTATACATTTAGCCAGAGTTGGATCATTTCACGCTGTAAAGAGGCGGCTTTTCAGGCTGAAGAACCTTGGGAACTGAATGTTGCCTCAGGGATTCTGTCAGTCTACAGGCTTAGGGAACTCAGAATAAGGTGTGAGTGGTGGTCACTTAAAAAAAAAAAAAAATCTTTTCTATATATATATATGTGTATATATATATACATGTGTGTGTGTGTGTGTGTGTGTGTGTGTGTGTGTATATATATATATATATATATATATATATATATATAAAAGATTTGTTTCTAGAAGGATTAAAGACCCCATGGAGTTGACCCGTGCAACCTCATCTATGCCAGCTCTGAATCCCAGTCAAGGGCATCTTGGTGGCTTGCATTTCATGAGACCAGTCGGCTGTTCTGTACAGTAAGGCATGGTAAGAAATTGGGATTTGTGGTGCAGGCTGACACAACTTGTACTGGAACCTCTGGGGATTAAAACCATTTCCCATCACAAAAGCAATGTTTAAAAAGCAGTTGATCTGACGGTCCTCATGTGGGAAAGTTCAAAGGGGCTTTTTGTTTGTCTGGATTAGGCTCCCTTCACACATGCCAAAATCTCCACACTTGTCTTAGTTGGCAAATAATGTAACATAGAACTACCCAACTGGTGATGAGAATGCTAAAGGGTTACCCTCAAACCCTCAGGTCTAAGTGTTCTCAGTCCCTAACAGGCGGTACTGCTGGCTACATCTCCTCAGGCTAGACTGAGTGCACATGGTGGGGGCAGGGTGGGGGGCGAGGGGCGACGGGGGGGGGGGGCGCGTCATGGCAAGGAGCTCTGTCTGGCAGCAGTCCACGAGCAAACTGAATTACCAGTTAAGAAGAGGCTGGGAGGAAATGGAGAGCTAAGGAAACGCATACAAAGAAAAACTCAATATGCAGGCTAACAAAATTATGGGAGCCATAATCACAGGATGTAGGGAAGAAAATTCACTTATGACAACGCAGATGATGTCAGTCTTCAGTGAGGGCGCCCTGGATATGTATCTACTCAACTAATGGGAGAACAGCCGAATGGACTCTTCTGTTTCTTTCAACGAAATCCGTTTCCGCTCTCCGTCTGATGTCACGGGCTGAGCTGTCAACACGGGGTAGAACTAGTACTCATTTCAAACAACTGCCAGGAAGATGGCCGTGAACGGGGATGGCTACCAAGTCTGTGACCCCAAATCGGCCCACAGTCTGGGGGCTCAACGTATCATCTACACAACACGCTCAACCAGCTGTGTGTTTATCAATACTCCTATTTACTCCTCACTGCGTGCCCCTCCCCCACTTTTCTGGTCATCAAGAAAACAGTTTTCCTTCCAAACTGAAAACAGACATTCCCAGGAAAGTTAGGATCCACGCTGTCATCACATCACTGCTCCCCTCCTGAGCCACCATCACCACAGGGAACCGAAAGGCCACATCGCACCTGGGACAGAAACTGGCCTGGGTCTGAGCTTTAACCTCTCTCCTGGAAATGTCTGATCCTTGTGACAGCCTCTTCTCTACTAAGGCAGAACGTAAGCTCTGATGTCAGGGGTGGTTCCCTAGCTCAGGAACAAAATCTCTCGGTGAGAATGATGGAATGAGCAGTCCCCTTGGCCCCGGGGTCTAGTTCTGCGTGCAGGTAACACCTTTCTGACAACCAGAGGGTGCAGGCATACCCTTTGTCAGGCCTGAAGTGAGAACTCAATTCTAGATTCTAGTCCAGGGTTCCGCGTCCTGATTCTTCAGGCTCCCTGGTCTAGTAAACACCATGGAAGGGCCTGTTTGGGGTAAAAACATACTGACACCAACTTTTAGAGCTCAACCAAAAAAAAATGTCATGCGCCACCTCTTGAGATGAAACTAGTCTAAAAACTAAGGTTACATTGCATTTGACAAGGGGTTACAGACATGTAAATCCTGTTCAGCCCATCAACTGCAAAAACCAAGTTTCCTTTCCATTTTGGCTGCGATCATGACTTTCCTCTGAACGACTATCTTTTTCTCCTTATCTCCTGTCTCTGTTGCTTTATCCTCACCTCTGACATGAGGGCTTCATTACCATGTTCCTCCCAGGCAGAGAGAAATGGGTCCTCCGCCCCTGGAGTTAGATGACTCGCCTCCTGAAGAGCCTGTCTTTGATTAGAAAGGGACAAGAGTCTCCGTGGGTCCCCTGCCTGACGCCTGCTCACTGCAGGGAGCAAGGGAAGGAGGCTGGATAGCAGAGGTGAAGTGGAGGCGGAGAGCAGGGTGCCATTGATGTGCCAGTGGGCCAGTGAGTGATTAACTCCAACCCTATTAGGAGGGGCTGTCGGGCACACGGTCAGAACCTCCCCCAACAGGACTGGGGCTGTAACCTCCTCGTGACCCTCTGTAGTGAGCAAGGCTTGCCTGGAGCTGGCCAGTGTGCGCCTTCCGGGCCATGGGTGGCCACCAGGCTCTTCTCTGTGGGCCCTTTTCTCTGCAATCTCCACATTCCATCCTAAGGCTGAGTGAAAGCATTGTTACAAAACAACTGTCGCATGAAATGTCTTCTCAGACGTGAATCACAGCAAATGTTTGATTGAGAAAACCAGCTCAAACATGGCATGGCCTCACACTTTTATTCATTTATTTTTTTTAATCCTCGCCTGAGGACCTTTTTTTATTGCTTGAATGGGAGGGGGATAAGGCGGGGCGGGGCAAGAGAGAGAGAAACATTGACCAGTTGCCTTGTCATAGGCACCCCAAATGGGAATCAAATCCACAATCTGCACATGTGCCTTCTTTGGGAATCGAACCCATGACCTTTTGGTTACGGGACAACGTAGACTAATATTTTTATTTTAGCCCCAGCTCCACCTCAAGTGGATGTTTGGTCTCATTCAAGACCCAGCATCTGGAACCGTGTCTGGCACGGCCTCAGCCTGGAACTCTCTCCCCCAGCACCTCACCCAGCTGGCTCCTTCTCTCCCTTCAAGCCTTAAGTGAAACTAACATAAAGTGCTCTTTCGTAACCATCTTCTTGAAAGCAGGTCTCTGCTTTCACCCTGATTGTGGCCTAAATAATAATTATATAATCTTTAATTATTGTGTTGATTTACTTACTACTGTCTGTTTAGCCTACAACTAAACCCCAGGAGAGTGGGATGGAGTCTGTGTTGCTCACTGCTTAACCCTCAGCACTTAGCATATTATTTCATAATAGGCCCTTGTCACATGTTTGTTAAATGAATAAATGAACGAATGAATGAATGATTAACCAAAAAGTTGTTGTTCACCAATTACAAAGTAAGAAAGAGGCTCGAAGCTTTTTAAAAAGCAAATAAAAATCTGGTTTCTGATTCAAAGATTCCTTAGCCATTCACTACTTTTGTATTGAAAAACCTTGATGGAATCTTGACCAAATTTGTGTCCTGACTACCCATCAGGGCCACTGAGGGACCATTTCAGATGGGGAACAATTCCATTTTTAAAAGATCTCTAGGAACTACCTTAGTACTTGGTTAGATTTTTCTAGGGTATCTTTAGCACCCTGAACTGCAATTACTTCTTTACATGTCTGTCCCTGATAAGAGGCAGCTCTTAAATCATCTTTCTAGACACAGCCTTTAGTTATTTTACTCAATAGTTATTCATTGAGCTGCTATGACAATGCCAGGTTCAAGGACAATGAAGAACCGCCCAGCAGGGAGTGTAGACACAAGGTTCAGCGTGGTTTGTCTAGAGATAATGTCTGCACCAGGAGCAGCTGAGGTCATGTGACACTAGGAATGAAGGATAAGGTAGAGCGCAGACATGTCTAAAACACAGGGACTGGGCGGGGGTGGGGGGGCATCATCAGTAGTTCTGTGATTCTAGAGACAGGAAAGGGTAGGAGGAAGGGTAAAGGTAAAGATTTAGGCAGAGGTCCGATTGTGAAAGATAATTTTAAGATGCTTGGACATCAATATGTTTTAAAGAGCGGTTCGTGGTCATATTGCATTTGCAATAGGTCACTCTCCATTCTACAGGGAGAATGAGTGTGAAGGTCCTAAGAATAGCTGGAAGGAAGCTAATTAGAAGGTTAATGTGATAGTGAAAAACAGAGATGACGCAGACTTGAACTGAGGTGATGTTTCCGAAACTACTGTAAATATAAAACTCCCAGGGCCCATTATAGAATAAAAATCTGTGCTAATTGAGTTAATCAGCACCATCACCCGCGGCTCCCTGGAGAACTGTACAGAAACAGCAAGCTAAGGTGGGAGGGCCTAAGGGGCACGGGCTGTGTTTGTTGTTGTTTGTTGGTTGTGCTTATTGTGTAGGTTTTCTGTTTCACATCTCCCATGTTAAGGGAGGCCATTTAGATGTTTCAGCTGAGAAGTCCTGCTTTTTGGATCTACCAAGCTCATGAAAAAAATAAGAGTAAACAAGTCACCTATATTGGTAAATAACTTAGGATTTACCACTTGTGGTCAGTACTCTAGGAGATAATTGAGTAACATAAAATACTGTGTAACTTCTTCAATAGATGTAACATGTAATATATAGCTTCTAAGATATACTAAGGGGTAAAAAAAATATTGTATGATTCATTGCTACAGACCTGATCATACTACTGGTTACATTAATGTCTCTGAATTAACCAGTACATAAAGGAAACACATATTTGATGTAGTCAATCCAGCAATTTTCAACCTTTTTCATCATGTGGCACACATAAACTAATTACTAAAATTCTGTGGCAAGCCAAAAAATATATTTTTTTGCTGATCT